GGGCTAATATCCAGAATCTACAAGGAACTTAAATTTACAAGAAAAAAACAACCCCATCAAAAAGTGGGTGAAGGATATGAACAGATACTTCTCAAAAGAGGGTATTTATGCAGCCAAAAAACACATGAAAAAATGCTCATCTTCACTGGTCATTAGAGAAATGCAAATCAAAACAACATTGAGATACCATCTCACATTAGTTAGAATGGCGATCATTAAAAAGTCAGGAAACAACAGATGCTGAGGGTGTGGAGAAATAGGAACGCTTTTTTGCTGTTGGTGGGAGTGTAAATTAGTTCAACCATTGTGGAAGATACTGTGGCAATTCCTCAAGGAGTTAGAACCAGAAATTCCATTTGACCCAGCAATCCTATTATTGGGCATATACCCAAAGGATTATAAATCATTCTACTATAAAGACACATGCACATGTATGTTTTTTGCAGAACTGCTCACAATAGAAAAGACTTGGAACCAACCCAAATGCCCATCAATGATAGAGTGGATAAAGAAAATGTGGCACATATACACCATGGAAGAGTATGCAGCCATAAAAAAGGATGAGTTCATGTCCTTTGCAGGGACATGGTTGAAGCTGGAAGCCATCATTCTCAGCAAACTAACACAGGAAGAGCAAAACAAACACTGCATGTTCTCACTCTTAAGTGGAAGTTGAAAAATGAGAACACATGAACACAGGGAGGGGAACATCATACACCTGGGCCTATTGCGGGGTAAAGGGCTAGGGAAGGAATAGCATTAGGAAAAATACCTAATGTAGATGACGGGTTGATGGGTGCAGCAAACCACCATGGCACATGTACACCTATGTAACAAACCTGCACATTCTGCGCATGTATCCCAGAACTTAAAAGTATAATAATCATAATAATAAAAGAAATTTAGGAACCATATTAACCCAATGCAACGTGTTTAATTCATTTTGTTAACATTTGAACAAACACTGAAAACATGAGCCAAATATAAAAATTTGAACACTGAATAATGTTTTTAAGAAATTTTTTTTTTTTTTTTTTTTTGAGTTTTGTTCTTTTTCTTTCAGGTTGGAGTGCAATGGTACGAATCTCTGCTCACTGCAACCTCTGTCTCCTGGCTGTAGTGCAAGCCATTCTCCTGCCTCAGCATGCCAAGTAGCTGGGACTACAGGCATGTGCTACCATGCCAGGCTGATTTTTGTATTTTTAGTGGACATGGGGTTTCACCATGGTGGCCAGGCTAGTCTTGAATTCCTGACCTCAAGTGTTCCATCCACCTCAGCCTCCCAAAATGCTAGGATTACAGGTGTGAGCCACCGCGCCTGGCCTGTTGTTCATTTTTTAGTGTGTAATAATGGTATCATGATTATGTTTAAAATATTTTTAAAGAGACACTTGCTGAAATATTTCTCATGAAATGATATGATGGCCGGGCTTTGCTTTAGAATAACCCACGAGGCGAGGTGGGCAGATCACTTGAGGTCAGGAGTTCAAGGCAAACCTGGCCAACATGGTGAAACCCTATCTGTAATCATCATATAAAAATTAGCCAGGCATGGTGGTGCATGCCTGCAGTCCCAGTTACTTGGGAGGCTGAGGCAGGAGAATTGCTTGAACCTGGGAGGCAGAGGTTGCAGTGAGCTGAGACAGTGCCACTACACTTCAGCTGGGGCAACAGAGCGAGACTTCATCTCAAAAAAATAAATAAATAAATAAAATAATACCAAATAAATAACCCAGAGGGAAGCAGATGAATGAAAGGAGATAGATCTAGCCCATGAGTGGATAATTGCTAAGACTAGATGATGTGTATTTGAGGGTTCATTATACCATTCTTTTTTTTTTTTTTTTTTTTT